TCTAACTGCTGACTGCGTATAATGCCCCGCAATCCTCTTTTCTCGTTTTATAATTAAATGTCAGTTATGTATTATAAAGAACTTCAATAATACGTCAGCTTGTGAGCTCCACTAGACGAAGCCAAGACCAGGACCTTACTGGGCACGTCCCACGTTTACTCTATTCTGGTATTTTTCTTTCTGACTTCAAGAGCTTCACGTTGCTTCTCCTTGTGATCTGGCGTTTCGGTCATTCGAGCTGAAAAGCAACTGAACGCTCTGACTTTTTCTGAAAAATTTTTCCATAATCACTGGTTTAAATTTCAGGCAACTTTTAGTCTTTGTGCGGAAAATCTACCAGATACGAATGAAAGAAGGCCGTTCATTGATTTCAGGTTTCTTCTGTTACATTTTTTTTGTGTACTTGTTTTTTGCCTGTGAAATATGGTACTTTTTTATTGCCAGTTTCAAATCACCGTCCTTTCCCCTGTCCTTTCTTTTTGATATCGATACGGAAATCAATTATGCGGGGAATAATATACATGTTGCAAAACTTAACAGTGAATACATAGAATTTAGCAGTAAGTGACGCGTACGCAGAATTTAGCTACAAAACTTTTTGCACCAATTGCCGCAGTCGCCCTACCGACGAGGTCCAGTTGTGGTAATGGTAAGAAATGTATGCGACTTAATGAACCGAAACATTTCTTGCCATTATAATATTTTTATTAAAATATTTTACTACTTCTACTAATTTCTTAATATCATTTGCTTTTGTCTTTTTCTTCCAATTTTAAAATATTTTCCTATTGCATACGCCAAATTTGACAGTAATATTTTGTGACATACTCAAGTAAGACGTAAAAATGTAATATTCAAGCATGCTTAAGTAAGTGGGATGCAAAGTGGGGAAAAGGGGCAATTTTGAGCAGAGGCTGCCGGTACTTAGGTACCCTCATTGCTTTCAAAACTTGGGTATGCCACAGCTAGTATTGTTGTTTTGAGAATTTCAGCACCTACAATACGTATCGGAAGACATCGCATAACATTACATGTATCGAAAAATGGGAGCGTTTTCGCGATAAAGTGCTGTTCAAGGGAGCACTCGATATCGTTGTCGCATTGCGAAAACTTCCAGCTACCAAGCATCTTGTGGATACTTTTGTGGTTGATATTTCACTGGTGACTGTAAGTTTAACATTTTGGCCCTCTCTAAATATTGGTTTCTGTCGGATTTTCTGGGAGAATAATTCGCATATGAGAAATTAGCACAACCTCATAACGGTTAGAGGCGCTCAAAATTGAGCTTTAAAAATAATTAAGCAGACTTGAGAAGTAATAAGGGTACGGAATGCTTGAAACGCTCGTTT